CGTAGCCACATAAGGCCGTCCGCCCCACGCCGCCGACCATGTGCGGACCATGCTCCGACCATGAGCCGACCATGCGCAGAACATGAGCATTTTGTAGCATCTCCCCGCGGCGTCCAAAAACGAGTCCAAAAGCGAGTGTTTGTGGGGGTGCCTGGTACTGGACAACACATCCCGGATGATGCGGATGATGCTATGCATGCTGGCGATGCGGAACAAGGGGCTGAAAATTGCTGAAAGCGAAGGGGAAACGCAGGAAAACAGAAGCGACGGGAGGTGAACGAAAGGGAAGCGAAAAGGAATTGCACGAACATGAAGAGGTCACTGGAGAGAAACCAAAATGCATGAAAATATAAGCGCAGAACGTGTCGGACATGCAGGGAAGACTTGCAAAGGAAGTGAAGTTGGTAAAGGAAATGATTGAACGAAAAAGGGCCAGGTGCCGCGTCAGCGTGTAAATCCGGCTACGCCTCCTGGGGTACATGTCGCCGCGAGGCAATTTGCCTGCTAGCTTCAGCTATAGGGACTGCACCCGTGCCGCCGGCCCTCGTCACTTGGCCGTGATGCGTTGCCTAAATCCGGCGCCTCTGCATCACCAGCTCGGGCTTGCGGTTTTGCTTGCCTGTGGGAAACCCTCGCAAAACATCGCGTATACGCAGGGTTTAGGCCATGTGGCTGACATCATCAGGGTCTGGGGTTGGGCCTGGGTTGCTTCAGCGGGGCTTGGTCTGCATCATCAAGACTTGCTTCCAAGAAGCCTCCCAACCCATGAAGCACTGTTTTTTGAAGGTATCGGAGGGATATAAGCGAGGCTCATTTTTGCGCATTTTGGCGCCAAGCGCTGCCGGGCATGCCGGCGATGCTGGGTCCTCTCACTCTACAAAACGCTGTAAATACCGTCAAAAACTGCTGTGCTGAGCGTTGGGCTGTTGTTCTGTCCGTTTTGCTTTTGCTGTGGCTGGCTCGCGCGCTGCGCTGTCCTTGCTTTTTTTCCGTTGGCTTTCGGGCCTTCTGGCGCGCGCGCGCGACCCCAGCCACAAAACGCTGCTATTTACGGTGTGTTTTTGCATTTGCGTTTCCGGGCTGGCTTGCGGGCTGTTCTTTTTGGGCTGCTCTTTCTGGGGCCTCTGGCGCGCGCGTGCGCGACCCCATGTCAGCCTTCTGGGTTGGGGCCCGGCTGGGGCCCAGAAAGCTGGCATCCCCGGCATCATCTGGGGTTGGGGTGGGCAACATGCATAACCTAACCAGCCATATCACGTTTCTCATACAAAAAACATGACATGACATGGTATAACTTCAAAGAGGCGTAGCCGGCTAGAGGCCGCAGGCCCAGAAATATCATAAAAGTAATAAGGCATCACTTTTGTGTAAGTATATAATTCCCCTGATCAGTTTCTTGGCCATAACAGTTTAAGATGGAACCATGCGAAAACATCATTTTGAGACGTGAACTCCAGTCCAACAATAGATACTATATCATGTACAGACACATAGATTCAAAATATCGGCAAAGAAGCTTACGATAGAATTATCAAAGACAAGCACATGAATCTAATGCAAATTCTAAATGTAATCGGTTTCCAACATGCCAATAGATAGATATCATGACATTGCGTTGCACAAATAATATGTCCTCTTCATTTCTCATGACCGGCTTGGCAATGAGATTATAATAGTAAACAGTTGGTGATGGGATGAGGCATGATCTATAAGTGGGTGTGGGTCAATATTCTGGTGTGGAACGTTCCGCGGTGACGCGGACGTCTGGAACGAGTCAGTTACGTAAGGCTGGTTGTTCCGGACCTCTGGGAAGACATGTGTGGAGTCCTCAAGCACACGTGAGCGAGAGGCAAAACCTAAGACTACTTTGGGCGGGGGCTATATCGTTCGGAGGAAGAGAAAGCAGGAGGAGAAAGGACGAAGGGAAGAAGGATGGGGAGGAAGGGAGAAAGGAATCCAGGGAGTAAGGGAGCAAGGAAGGATGGGGCAAGGGAAAAGGAGGGTGGAAGGGAAGGGAGGAAGAGGAAGGGAGGAAGAGGAAGGGAGGAAGAGGAAGGGAGGAAGAGGAAGGGAGGCAGGGCAGAAGAGAAAGGGAGGCAGGGCAGAAGAAGAAGGAAGGGAGCAAGGGAAGAAGGCAGGAAGGCAGGAAGGCAGGAAGGCAGGAAGGCAGGAAGGCAGGAAGGCAGGAAGGCAGGAAGGCAGGAAGGCAGGAAGGCAGGAAGGCAGGAAGTGTGTAGATGCTGCGCCTCCCCACAAGCTCCATGACATGCTTTTTGACGCTGGTTCCAGACCGCCCACAAGCATGGGAGGTGGAGCAGGGCCCACACGCTGACCACCACTGATTGATGGGTGAGCGGTGGCCCGCCTTTTGTGCTTTCCGGGTGTCGTTGAGGTATCGTTCAGAGTATCGTTCAGACAGCCCTCCAAAACCAGAAAATTTTGCCCATATTCTCTCAGTCCAGGGCATGTGCCAAAACCAGCTACACGTTGCGTGCGTGCGCCTCGCAGCCCGGACTGCTGTCCGGTGACTTGGTAGTTGCAAGCGAGACTTATAAACAACTTGAAGCACAGCAGCACCATGCAAGCACGAGGGGTGTGGTTTCGGTGTCGTTTTGGGTATCGTTTTGAGCAAGCAGTACTTCGATGGCCAAAAATGCAGTTCACACTCCCCGAATGATCCGAAAAGGTGTTTTCGACGCTCCAAAACTACTTTTGGGTATGGTTTGGCGTGCCGACTGTGGCGCCTGCGGGTGCAAGCAAGAAGCATGAGCAGTAGGAAGGAGAGCAATCGGTGGCCCAGAATGCAGTTCACCCCCCGAATGATCCGAAAAGGTGTTTTCGACGCTCTAAAATTACTTTTGGGTATGGTTTGGCGCGCCGACTGTGGCGCCTGCGGGTGCAAGCAAGAAGCATGAGCAATAGGAAGGAGAGCAATCGGTGGCCCAGAATGCAGTTCACACCCCCCGAATGATCCGAAAAGGTGTTTTCGACGCTCTAAAATTACTTTTGGGTTTGGCACGCCGACCGTGGCGCCTGCGGGCGCAAGGGAGAGCAAGCAGTATACTTTGGTGGCCCAGAATGATCGGAAAAGGTGTCTTCGACGCTCCAAAACTACTTTTGGGTATGGTTTGGCGTGCCGACTGTGGCGCCTGCGGGTGCAAGCAAGAAGCATGAGCAGTAGGAAGGAGAGCAATCGGTAGCCCAGAATGCAGTTCACACTCCCCGAATGATCCGAAAAGGTGTTTTCGACGCTCCAAAATTACTGTTGGGTATGGTTTGGCGTGCCGACTGTGGCGCCTGCGGGTGCAAGCAAGAAGCATGAGCAGTAGGAAGGAGAGCAATCGGTGGAAGCGCGAAGCGCCAGTTGCACGTCATGCGACGTTATCGTTTTTGGGGCTTCGCTATATCGTTCCTGAGGAAAAATACAAAACAAGCAACGCGAAATCGCCGAAGACATATTTTATGACGAGAGAGTTTAGCCTTTTGCTCGTTCATTTAGTGTAAGATGGACAAATGGATGGATGAATGAATGAATGGGTAGATGGATGGATGAAGCGATCAGGGGCACGCGGCCGTACGATACGGCACCTCCTTGAAGGCTTCTTCGGCGGCATGGCGGGCCGCGTAAGAAGCGTAGCTACTGTGCATGTGGACTTGGTGGCAAATTGCTCCGCTGTGTCTGGAACACGTCTGGAACGGGTCTGGAACGGGTCTGGAACGGGGTCTGGAACGGTTACGCGAGTGGCTCGCACTTGGTAGCAAGCTGCATGTAAACATGGTCGTTTCAACAATGTGACGACCGAGAGCGGTATCGAACCGTTACCGTGTCGTATCGAACAGATTGCGGCGGGGCTGACCCTTAACATTCACAGGCCGCTCCAAAAACACATCTGTCAACAGGACCGCTGCTTAATTCCATCCAAGTCCCAATGATTACAAGCCACGCAGCCCCAACCACCAAAGCTCGACAAGCAAACCCCATCGTTAGCACCTCAGGCTTCTCTCGAACACCAGCCTTAACGCGTAGCATTTGGCAAAACAAAGGGGGGAGTCAATAACCTACCCAAATCACCTTACCGTAAATACTCTAAACTAGACATAAATATATAAACAAGGTCTGGAACGGAAGGTCTGGATCATGTTTCTAGGCAAGGTCTGGAACGGAGGTCTGGAACGGAGGTCTGGATCGCATGTGGGTTCCGGACCCTGTTCCGGACCTTATAAATTGACTCGCAGCCAAGTGTCTTCTTTCCGAGCTTTGTGAATGCTACGAAATGAAGAAATCAGACTTAGAGCAAGAGCTGGGACAATAATAAAGTCTCTAACGTATTGTCTCTGAACCCTCACCAATAAACTGGTTGTATCTGGGGTTGAGTTAAGATGTGTTGAACTACTTTCCAGCTTAGAGATCAGTCCAAGGGCTGCTTTCAAGTCTGAAGGATGCAGTTACGAAAAGCATCTTTCACCATACTGTAAGCATGTGTTCAAGGCTTAAGCACAACTGGATCTCTTCCCAAATCAGGGCCTCGGCACTGGATTTGAATGAGTGAACGAGGCTGCACCAAAGAGGTGCCTGCAAGCCCTTTTGCCGAGGATTCCACTCTGTCAATCATCCAAGTTGAAGCCACATCGCTGCACCATGCCGGCAAACATCAGCCACCAAATTAGCGACGTGCACAAAACCACTCTGCCTTGCACCATGAAGGAAATCATCCAAAGTGATTTCCCCATCTCCATCGTCCATCATGGAGAACCTCAAACGCGAGACTGGTAAAAACATAAACCTCCTTATGTTAATCATATGCATTCCGGGCAACAACATCATTTCAACAGACTGCTCATGCACGTCTCTGTCCCATTTGGCCTCAATCAGAAGTTCAATGCGCTTCAAGATTGTGTAAATAATGTTCAGCGCTTCTATGCTTTCTCAGCAGTTGGAGATGTGAGCGCACAGCAGCTTATATACTCCCTCAAGACTTCATGGGGCAAGAGAACAGCAAAAGCTTTCTCAAAGACTCGTCGTTTTATGAGCTGCTTCCATGCGGAGAGTTGACTGGACAACCGGATCTCAGGCGTATTTGTGTTTCTAAGAATCAACACAAAAACCGAAACACTACATAGTCAGCACATTCCTGTTGAGAACCATGGAACGCATGTTCTGGCATCAACGGCAAGCAATCAGGTCAGCCTAAGAGCAAGCACGTACATGTTGAAAGCCATGAAATATCAGCTTTACACACAAGCACGCATCTGCAAGCAATGTAGGCTTACTACTACCACACAACTCATCGAAACGGTGGAACAAATACTTGACATGAACTGCACGCAATCAAAGCAAAGCTTGCAGCAAGCATGATGTGTAAAGCACCATTGCATTCATGTTTGACATCAGGCAATCAGCACTCATCAGAGTCATCACACAAGTGCTCAAGACCATAAAAGGTCGTCTTGACTGAAACAGCACACAATCAACTTAGGCTTGCAGCAAGCACACAATTGTTCACGACTACTACGCTCATGAACCAAATAAACATACCAAACAAAACCAACTTACGAGTAAGCAGTAAGTGTCCTCAAGGCCAGGGAACGCATGCTTTGCATGAATCGCAAGCAACCTAATAAAATACTTGCAAATGTTCAAGACCATGGGAATCATGGTTGATACGCGCCGCAGGCAATCAAAGGAGCAAGGTAAGCAAACAACTGTCCAAATCACGGAAAGCAAAGAAACCAAGCTTAGAGCACGCATCATCATGGAACAGATTAGGCAGTCCTGACATAGATGGCAAGCAATGAAGCTTAGCTTAGGGTAACCTCAGACAGAGATTCTCTACAGTCAAGCCGGCAGGACGTCTCATGGCCAACATCCAACCCCAATCCAATCAAGTCAATATCAAGAAACGCCCATCTGATGGGCAACGTTGTGGCAGCTTCGATCTGCTCATAGGCTCAAAGAGCAATCTGTCTGCATGCCCTTGTCCAATCCTGGTGACTGGGGTGGCTTGTTCCCGTCACAGAAATCCTCATCACCAGGTTAAAGAACCATGTTCAAAAGGGTTGCTGACCAGAGTGAACCAGCAAGGTTTGTTTCATGGCCTGCATTTGGGACAATCCCTTGTCAAAACCGCTGGAAAGGAGCACACAACGGAAACCAACTGCAAAGAACACATGCCTCACATGCTGTTTGCGGCAGTCCTATTCAAGGCCGGCCAACATTGGCAACTTGAATGGAGGTACAGGAAAACCAAGGATCCCAATCCTTTTGTTCGAACAAGGACAGGATCCTCAAGGCTTTTTGTGACATGTTCTCGTGGTTCTTTTTGCCCTTCAACAAGATCCAATCGACCCCTATCCTGGACTCGCCCTCGCTGCCGCAAAAGGGACCCTCACAGCTGAGATTGTTTGATCGTCTCTTGTCTATCAGCGGACCACAATGGCAGTGAGCGCCAGGTCTACTGATACATGATTGCATGCGCAGTTGTTCCAAGAGGCATGGGAAAGCTGGCGAGTCCCCTGTTTTGCATGGCAAATTTACTGTCATTTTCTGGTAGCCCCCAAAGATTTGGTCTGGACCACTGGAGCCCTCAGCCCAAGTGGCAAGTCCACCAGGTCGTTGCTCTCCAGATCCAGCGTCGCCAGCCAGTCTTGCAGCTTCGGGCTGTCCAGCACTGCGCTGAACTCCGCCCAGGTGAGGATGCCTGGGCCATCTGGCCACTCACCAATTTGGTTTCCCATGAAAAAGTACTGGGGTTCGGCTAGGCTGGGGAAATTGCAAGCTTTCTCTTAGAGTCATGGGGTCTCAAAAACAGGAGCTCACAATAGTTCTGCATTCCGCAACGGAGTTACCCGCAAAATGCTGTGGGGTGGGCAAGACCGTGACCGTGAGTGCCTTCTCCCAGTTTCTACAGGCCTCTTTCAGCGGGATCCTACGTTGGTGTATGCAGACTTCTCGGCAACACCCTCACAGTATGATGCGATGCCAAAACAAGCAACCTCACTCATCAAGGACAGCATCATGACATCTGCAGGCTTCCTTGGATAGAGGAACTGGTGTGTAATAGGAGCAAACACAAGAAAGTGGCAATGTCCAGCCCTCAAACACATGAATAGCTGCTCAACTGATTAGCTCCGCGCTTTGGTGCAGGCACATGTCCCGTGTCTGCAAGATCTCCACTCAATGGCGGTGACAAATCACGGCAGGTTGCAGAAATCATGCCCATCTCTTTCCAGCTACGTTGTGCGGTCTGTGGGGCACGGGGGTCGCTCACTGTGCCCCATCTAAACTGCCAAGCCACCATCGCCAGATTGATCCAAGCGCTTGAAGAACGCTTGCAGTTTTCTGGTGTAGGCCTCAAACAGCAGGTGAAATAAAACAAGCGCCCGGTGAGCAAATGAGCAACGCCCTTCCCAGCCAAACAACTTACACCTTCAAACATCCAACTACTTCATCATGACAACGACACAAATCAACAAGTATTTTACTCATCCAAGACGTGTAGTCGCGTCCGATACCTGTAAGCCTTTCAGGCTGTTGCAGAGCCGTGCAGGCGAAAAGGACAATCACATTTTGGCACATCTTGGGGCAAACAAGCGTGATATCAAAAACGCATGGCCCGCGAAAGATACCTCACTGTTTAATGCTTCTGTGTACTTCGCCTTGGTCCAACCCACCCTGGCCCCATGTCGCGTGACCCAAAACCACGCTCCAGCTGCCTCAAGCCCTCTGGTGTCGAAGCCATACACACACAATCCTCCCCAAATTCTGCCAAAAAAGTCCAACAAATCTCTCGGGTCCCTCACACGCCAGTCAAACCTCAAACCCTCCAAAAACCGTCACACTCCCCCTAGAAACCGGTCAAATTCTCCTCTGGAAACCAGTCGCATCCCCTCTAAAAACCGGCCTAACTTTAGTCATATTCTCTTAAGATCAAATTCCGTACATATTGTTTTGCTTGGCTCCAGTCCACGACCCTTCGACTGTGGCTCTCGCGCAGAAACTCGCGAACATGCACCCACCCACTACCTGGAAACCAGCTCGCGCATTTCGGTGTCGACTCACTCACTCAAACAAACACAACAGTTCAAGGCAAACCAAAACACAGTACCTCAAAGCCAGCCAAAAGCCAACGCGAAGCGTTTACAATTACTGACCAAACTGGTCCAAGTCCCTCTGACAGTCGTCTTGGCGTGGTATCATAACTTCTTAATACCTGAGCGAGCAACTGGTAGGCCAGTTCGATCAAAATCTGTTAAGCTTAAACTCGTGCATCGCAAGTTCAACTGACAATGATATTGCTTGAACATTGCGATGGTTTTGCTGGTATATTGTTGGCTCATTGCTCCGTGAAATCCTGATAGAAGTACGCGGCGTCAAGACAAGCCCGTCCATCCTTCATATCTTTAGTAATTTGATTCCATATTTATACACAAATATCTATGCATCTGAGATGCACATGTGTGTATGAGTTCTTGTATGTACGTCTGTATGCTTGTGTGTGTGTGGTGTTTATGTTATGAGTGTAAATTTGCATGTAAACGTATATGCATCTGTCTGTCTGTCTGTCTGTCTGTCTGCCCTGCCCTGCCCTGCCCTGCCCTGCCTGCCAGTCTGTATGTGTGTTTTTATGTGTGTATGTATGTGTGTGTATGTGTGTGTGCATGTTAAACATGTATGAGTGAGAGAAACGGGCGCATGTCTGTTTCTCAGAAGTCACCCCGCGGGACGGCAATTGTTCGATGTCAATGCTTGCAAGACAGCACTCAGCTCAAGAATGGCAGGTACACATGCGGCCAAGCGGCCGATGGAGTCAACAATAATTGATTCACCAAGTGGCTGAAAATCCGATGCGCTATGTGAACATGAATTCGGGGGTCCGAAGTTTCATGGAGTCAAGTTAGCTAGTTCAAGACCTAGCAAGTTAGCTGGTTAGCTTAAATTAGCTGCGAGTTAGATAGCTAGCTCTAGTAAGCGAGTTTCTAGGTAGCCACCCAGTTCTACGCTATCAGCTAGTTGCTACTGGCTCAAAAAATCGTAAAGTGGCTGGCTCAGTTGGCTAATTGAGTGCAGCAGGTAGCTAGTTAGCTAGTTAGCTAGTTAGTTCGCTAGTCAGCTAGTCTGCGGATTGGGTATTCGGCTGGTTTATGGACTGAGGTAGTCTTAGAGTAGTTAAGCTCGTGAGAACTAATTGAATCGTTAGGTTAGCTGGCTTCTTGGTTAGATCGGTAGCACGCAGCGAACCAGCGCAGGTTCACGTAGCCATGTTCTGGCATACACAGTCCGAAGAGAGTAGCTTGCGGAAAGGTTGGCGCAGGCGCGCTTGTGCGTAGGTGCTTTTGGAAGAGTTGGCCCGCAAAGGCACCCTCCCACAAAACTCAGCCTATTTGACTAGCCAGCTCTTCTAACTTATCAACATGCCAACTTTGGAATGGCATACCAGGAATGACGCGATCCAGCCTCGGCGGCACAAGACAAATTCCCGCCTACTAAACGACCACATTGCCAACAAAAATCTGCCCAAACGGAGTGTTAGCTCAGTTGGCTAGTTAGCTAGATAGCTATTTGGCTTGAGTTGGCTACGTAGCTGGTTTAATCACTCATAGTTTGTTGATCTTCGCAGGATAGATGGCCATCCTAGAAAAAGCAGGTCGACACACCCAGCATCACCTGTTCATACTTCGCACATCAAGTGGTCGACGCCCACAGAATCACAAGTGCTGTAGTACAAACATATCATCGTCATAGTCGAAAAGGTCCGCGAAAGCATTGGGCCGTTCTCACGCCCTTTGACAGCCTGGCTCCAACAGAAGATTCTTTCGTTGGCAACATCCATACCAGAGACAACAATGTTAAATACGTATCATACTGTAATGCTGGGCCCTCGCCCGAAATTGGTGCACAGCGAAGCTGTCCCCGCGCGCCAACCAATATGCAACCAATATGTTCTCAGTTTTGGGACCTCCATGTTTGACCAAATAGTGATCAACATGCTTTTCACGTTTCGTTCCGACCGGGCCTCTGCAGCGAGCTGCCGCTGCTGAAGGGCCACGTCCTGGTCTGCTGCAGCAACCTGCGGCATCCACAGAAAACGAGTGGCCAAGGAGTTGCATTCATGAAATCTCATAATTCCGGGCGAAGCAAAATCAGCCAAAACGCACATCATAGAAAGGTGTTCTTGCGGGCCCGCCTGCGAGCTCGTTGCCTGCTATGACAACAACCCGCGCGCAAACAAATTGCGTCTTAGCTGCTCACTACGGTCTTGGTTGGTGTTTTGACTAGCGCAGAAAGCCTGACGCAGCTGGTTCGCGTGGGGACTCCCGTTTCCGGTTTCATTCACATTTTTCAGTTCTTTGCATTTGTTCAAGAAGACTCCTAAACAGACTGAGGTTCAGAATTGCCAAAACAGTAAAACTAGGAGCGACCCATCACAAGTAAAGACGCGCACATGTAAAGCAGAGCAGTGATTTGGGCACGCATGCTCATACATTTTTAATGTCGTACCCGACATAAGGAAAAAACTCAAGGGCCTCGGCATAGGCTGGATTTAAGGCATGGGTGCTTGGAATCAAACTTCCCAGCTTTTCGATACGCCAACATTCAGCGAAGTCTATCCTACAGATCACGTGCTTTGAATCGTGCGGCGATTGAACGATACTACCAGTGGTGGCACCTGCAGCCCCCCTCTTGCATTTTCTGCTGAAGCCAGCACTGCTTTCGCTTTGCGCACCATTTGACGAGTCGTGCAGTCTCCCAAAAGTTTAGCACCTTTCGCCAAAGCAGCACAACATTTACCAAACAGTGCCAACTGCATTCTGCAAATGTATGCCAACCACTCCCAACTAGTTCTCCGGATGCTCCTGTGCTTTGTTGACGTGCGGGATTCTGCGGGTCTTGACAAGTTGTTCGCAGGATTTTGTGCGTGGAATTTGTGGCAGTGCGTTTTGCCTTTGATGTTTGAGTAGGTCTAAATGGGCTCGAATGGTGTTGCGTTTGACAGCGTCAAACTTGGCACAAATTGGAACGCGTCAGTGGGTCAAGCAATGTGAAAAAACTCATTGACATATACTTGTAGCACACCAACAAATGGGACGTCAGCCTGCAGATTCCAGCTTACAATCATGCGTTGCAGTGCCGGGTTCAGGCACCAGCAGGTCCATGACTCAACGGTAGTGCCTCGCACTTTTGTTGCAATTCTTAACAAGTGCATAATTATAGCAATACATCCAAAGAAGAGAGCTATGATGTCGAAGTAGGGCGGATTCCTTCTCCAATTCAATACGCATAACAAACGGGCCCCACTTCTTGCTAAACAACTTAAACAACTGCACAGTCAACCGAATGAGCAAGCGGTAACCACCTGCCAACAAATTGACACGCTTTTCTGTCCCGTCCCATTAGAAGAATGGTTGTTTCTTTCCTGTTCCCGGGAAGGACATCGGCCTGGACTTCATGACAAATAGAACACAAAAACAACAACAACAAACAAAAAAGCGAAGGGGCTTGCCAAATGAACTTATGTAGATCATCGGTGCACCAATTGCTCGGGCACTGGTTGGGGTACCACCTGCTGGCCAAAGGTGTCAAACCACACGAGCGATCCACGCAGAAGTTTAGCTTCCCAGCCTAGCAAGTCGCATTTGAGCGGGGTCGCAGCTTGGCAAACTGTCGGTGCCGCTGTACCGTTTCAAAGATGAACTAGTCCCTCCTCTGGTCTGTGCTTCTGCAAGGAAAACCAAGTTGTGGTTCACTGTGGACATGGACCACAGTGGTTGGATGTTTCCGAGTGTTGAAGGAACAACTATGTCGAGTCTCCGCATCACGACTTCCCAGCCTTCATGGTCTGCTGCAGAAAAACCGCAGAAACAACGTTTAGGATCGCAAAGCCCACCAGGCACCTGTACACGACGAAGCCAAGAGCGTACCTCGGAAGCTCAGCATGCACGTGGAATTATTTCGGACCTTTGAAGCAAGCCGTCATCGCACACTGTCCTAAGGTTTAGCAGGCACAGCCAGGGGACTTCTGCAGTGAGCAACTGTAGTCTGAAGCGCGTTCCCTGCAAAGTGCGTACAGCTGCTGACTACTCTCACAAGGCTCAGGGCGAACGTTCTATCAAACTCACTCGGCCACCCATCTGATGAACCAATCAGCGTATGCAAGGAAGGGCCGCAGAGGAAGCAATGTAAGATCTTGCCCTGCTCCATCCACTTGGCACAACTGGTGCTAAGCCCTAGGCAAAAGCTAGCCCATTGCAGGTCCAGGCGCCCTTCATCAACGTTGTCCACCAAGACCCGGCAAGCAGGTGCCCAGTTGGCCATGAGAACTTCAAACATGGTGAGCAAGGTAGAGCTGAAGGTGCCAAAGTAGCCTGAAGTCCACGTTTGAGCCCGGAAGGGCAAAAAGACAAACAAACGTAGCGTGCTCAAAGGGTCTTGTGACGAATGAGTGGCTGCTTCTTTACACAAATACAAGCAAGCGGCTGAGATGAGGAACGAACAGAAGGACAAGAGCGACGGGGAGGTTGCGCATTCTGCTCGCTTGCTTGCTCGCTCACTTGCCTGCCCGCGCTCATCTACGCTGTCTGCAGGGTGTTTTGCTTCCTTGCTTGTTTGGTTGCCTGCCCCCTTTACTGCTTACGCGAACCTTTGGCAACCCATCTTTTGCTTGCGTGACGCATGTGCAGAATGATTTGGTTACCCTCATGATGCGCCTTCGCGGGGCTTTCGCGAAGCTTTCGCGCGTGTGTTTTCCTTTCGCAGCGGCTTGTTTTGCATCAACCCTTTCGCGGCGCTTTCGCGGCGGCTCCTTGAAGCTAGCAGGGCAACCTTGCGAAAAAGAATAATGCACCGGGCACACTTGTTAGCTCCAGCTTGAGAATCGCAACTTTTCAGAACAAGCGTAGCGCACCAAGTGCACTTTGGCAGCTCCAGCTCAAAAACTGCAACTTTTCAATACAATAATAGTGTGCAAAAAAGGCCACTCTTTGGATCCTGAACCCACGCCTTTCGCGGAGCTTTCGCACAGATCCCCCCGCATGTTATTAACTGCACTGTGCACACTGATCATCAAATGTATACTCTCGCAAGGTCAACCCCTGCTCTTTCCAGTCGCTGCCTGCCCCAAGCTCCGTCTGAACAAGTACTGTAGCCCATGCAGGGTGGCCCTCCTTTCGCGAAAGCTAGTCGTTTCCTTTACAAGTAAGTGTAGCGCGTGAAGTACACTTTGGCAGCTTCAGCTCAGCCTGACTCAACTCCTACACTGCCAAAGCCGGCGCCCTAAATTGAGCCAGCCGAAACTCTACGATTCTTCAACCCACCACCAAGCAACTAAATCCAACCCACTCCAACCCAATTTCCCAAACCAATGCAAACCAACCAACGCATCCGGAAGAAACACAATGCCAATCCAAGCGTGAGATAGCCTATTCTGGGAGGCGCACCGAGCCGTGCCAGGTTTAAGCCCATACGCCTGCCCTGTGACACGTTTCTGACTCATCTCCAGCTTGATAAGAATGGTCAAACCTAATTGCTCTTGAAGAGACTGGTGGATCAAATACGATGTAGATTCGCTTGTCCCTTTTTTTAACAATTTTTGACCGATTGGGTTTCTGGGGTGCGTTCCCAGGGCGACAAACTGATGGGCTGTCATGAGGTTTCTACCTTCGGGTTGAACGATTGAATGAACCCTATTTGGTTGGATCAATGTCTCTCGTAGTTTGTCGAACAACGCACAGTTTGGACTGCTTGACCAACACTGTACGACGGTACGCGACGTGTGTCCTGGGCCACTAGTCTGTGTTTGGGCCCCTCTTTGCCGACTGCTTTCCAGGAGGGCCGGGCCTTTTGCTGGTCAAGAACAAGCTGTGAGCAATTGCCACATATCCCCCATTCTGCGTTTGAGTGCTTTCGGAAGCTTGGCCTGAGCTTTCGGAAGCTTGGCCTGAAGTTTGGCCCGAACAGCCGAGGATGAAAGCATAGTGGCCAAAAACTCAAATCTGGGACTACTAGTAGTGCTACTGCTGCTGCTACTACTCCTACTGCTACTGCTACTGCTACTGCTACTGCTACTGCTACTGCTACTCCTACTACTGCTACTACTACTGCTACTACTTCTACTACTACTGCTACTACCACCAGTTACCCACATCCATTCGAGAAGCTCTCAAAGCTCTCAAAGGATCCCTCACCTGTGTTACCTGTGTTTTGTTTTCTCCAAACGAAAGACCGTTCTACGAAGTTTCGGCTTTAACGCCACCCGTCCGTGCGAGCCAAAATCGCAGGCGTCGTTCCCAAAAACATCTGCAAGTGTTGCGCCAGCTTTGGCCCGCATCGGTTTGCTTGTTTTGTGCGTGTTTGAACAGAGCACCAATTCTTGCAGTTTCGTCACACTGTTTGCCGGATCATCGCGACTAGGCGCTGTTTGACCGTGATGCGCTGTTGCCATTTGCGCGATTGCTTCCATGCCAGCGCTGGGGCTTGCTCGCTTCACCCGGCCGCAGGTCAAACGCCTGCATCCGTATATCTGTGTTTTGCACGAGCGCGCCAATGCGACTCTCAGGTGTGCGAAGTTTGATGCTCTTTGGTTTACGGTTCCCGCAGCCCCGTTCAAATGGAACAGCTCCAAGCAAGCCGACAGAAAGCAGTGCACGGGAAATTCTGGAGGCGCCTGCCCAGGGCTATATCTCGTGCCTGCCGAGGGTCCTGAATAGGTTCAAAGGATCTCCAAGGCCACAGCAAAAGAAGGCACTGGGCAGGAGGCTCCAGCAGCACCAAACGGAACTTCATGAAAACATCATCCACTGTGATTCGGGCACGAGCCTGTGCCCGGGCAATGGGTAAGTTGGGGTAAACAAGCCACAAAAGAAAGGTTCCCCAAAAGCAAACCAATCCCCGGTCCCAAAGATCAGGGTTTCCCACACACCAGAGAACAACAACCAAAAGGAAAACAAACCAAACAAGAAAAGGGTTAACCCGCAACCTTGGTCGACAACAGGCCGCACGACTGGTCCCTACCAACCTGGCGGCGGCCCGAGGTCTCTTTCTCCCCCGAGATGCCGTCGGTCGACGCAGGGGTTCGGCGACGCCCATTCGAGGCGCGACGGAACCCAAAACTTGAGCCAAAACACCACAGGTCGGTCACTAACGCGACGTCCCTGATGATGATATGAACCATGGCTAATCACACCCCCCTCACGAGGAGCCCGTCATATGACGGGTGGAGCGTGCCATTTACTGATAGGATTTAACTGCTCGCATGCGTCCGCAAACAGCTGGACACTACCGCCGTCAGCGGTGGAGCAAACCCACAAAGGCAGTTGCGCGACATCCCGGGCATTAAATTCCCGCCACCACCCCGAATTAATCGGGGTAACGCTGTCCAACATACCTTGTGGAAAAGTCCACATGACGACACTAGGTCACAACTGTTTGCATCAACAATGCAAGAAGTTTAATTCTTATCAGAAGCCATGAACAAAAGATACGTATGTCCAATGGTACCCTCGCCTAACGGCAAGAGATACCCCTTGACCATGCGTACCTGAATAAAAACTTGAATTCCGCAAACCCGGGAGTAACCCCCCATCAGTTTGCTTTCCCTCTCACTCACACTGCTCCCTGATGAACACGTCCAGCAGCCCAGCAGCGGTATGGGAGAGACATGACCTCCGCGCCTCAGCGGTCCGGGAGGAACATCACCACCTCCGCACCGCGCCGACCATTGGAGAACGGACGCAAGCCTATCGGCCGCAATCCTCGTGACTCAGCCTACCGGCTATCGTCACGTCTCCTCCGGTCACGTCCGCCCCGCGCACGGTCCCTATCACGATCCCTTTCGGATCTCCTGCGATCATCTCGCCTTCGATCCCGCTCCCGATCGAGTGAATCATCATCACGACGATCACGAGCATCGTCCCTCCTCCTGTCGCGATCATCCTCGCGCCGCGGACGATATCTGCGCCTCCTCGACTCTCTGGAATCCCTGGTGTCCACGGTCCTAACGGACCTCCGAGAAGGAGTACGGGAAACATCCGACTCCCTACGCCTCCTCCCAGATTGAGAGTTCGTCACGATCTGGTTGAGAGCTTCCAGTGCCGACGCGTCCTCACCATTTCTGATGAAATCCCTAACCTGCTTGTTCAGCACTCTGTTGGTGGAGATCGTCAAGAAAGCGTCCACCACCGAACTCTCAGGCAGCACCAGGAAGTGACCCTCCACCGGGCTCGCCGCGGCCCGCTCAGCAGACTGCAGCCGGATCTCCCCGCCTTCAGGCTTCTTTGCCATCGCCTTGGAGGCCGTCAAAGGCGCTACCGCATCCTTTGCCGAAGATCTGCCAAGCGCGGAGTGAAGATCATCCCCGCTAGCTTCTCTCGCTGCCGCACCTGGTCTGCTGTCGACGTCGCCAGGCCTCGTGGACGCCTCCCGCTTTGTCGACTCCTTCGCAGCCTCGTCGGGATCCCAACGGGATTTCCTTTCTCTCTTCTGCCCTTCGGCCGACCCGCGGCTACCGCCGGGAGCGTCACCTCCGCCTGTCTTCTCCTTCTTGACCTCAACCTTCGGTTCGGCCTGCTTCGTCTCCTTAGCCACAGCTTTTGGAGCCGGAGCACTCCTTCGCCTCAGATGCTGAAGCAGCCTTCCCTCTCGGCTCGGCCTTAGGAACCGGGGTCATTTTAGCCTTGGCACTCGGCCTGGCCCCTTCAACCACCATCTCGGCCCAAGACTTCTTCGGCTGAGCTGCTGCTGTATCAACCTCCATCGGAGCAGGTCCAGCATCGTCCTTCGCCTTTGGGACAGATGGGCTACCGCCCTTACCAGATCCTTTACCTGGCACATCACCTGATTTCGGTGGTGGGCCGGAAGGACTACCGCCCTTACCGCCCTTTTCCCCTTTCTTCCCTTTTCCTTTTCCGCCCTTGGGGACCGGCTCCTGCTTGGGACCAGGACCCGGCGCAGCATGATGCACCGATTGGAGTCCCTCGATGTCCACGTTCAAAGGTTCGGGTTGACGACCGTCAAGAACCGTCCTCACCCTTTCGTCACTAACGTAGACGAACGGGTCACGGAAGGGTGCGGGAGGCTCCGACTGTCCGGCGCTGATCGCCTTCTGCACCTTGGCTATCGCCTCCTTCAACCTCTTCTTCTCATCGTACCCCGTCTCCGATACCATGTACTTCCTGAGCTGCGAAATCAACGCATGACTCTCCAGGATGTCCACGTCCTTTCGATGAGTCGGGTACAATGGGGTCAGATGACCAGCCGCAGAACCAATCACGTATGCCATCGGAATATAGAATGACAAGTACGTGTCATGACGAGCGAACTTCCTAACGGAAGTCGTCATACGCCTACCCCACTGAGCAGCGTGTCTTGG